ACCGGTAACTTAGCGGTAAGCCTCAGGACTTACAACGCTAAAATGTAGCTTTGCGTTAGAAAAGACGAACCCACCCCTAAACACTCCGAAAAAATCAAATGAATAAAAATTTTGATTGTTTGATTATGTTATATATCATCTTCTATATATTGTATGTTTTTAATCTATTGCCAGGTGGAGCCTCCTTCAGAGACGTGCAAGGATTTCTATTTACCAAGACTTGTAAATTTTGTTGATTTCAGTGTTTAAATTGGACTTTAGTACTGAAAATATGCGGTTCCTTACTTCAACACGAGCTAAGAAACTTGTCAAGTTTTGCCATAAAACTTACGAACAATTTTAAATGATGTATTGAAACAATTTTAAAGATACTTGAGATTGCTGTGTTGTGGATGATTCTTAAAAGTGATGTCATGATTAGTGCAGTTTTGTGAAGTCCAGATTAGCTAGAGATCTTGGATGATAATAATATGGTAACATTGGCCTAACGGAAAGAGCTGACAGTTGTTTGATGTTTCTTGTTACGTCAGAGGAAAAACTTTCAAATAAAAAATCGAATTTATATTGTGTATTTGTTATAAGAGATATTTTATGGTGATTAAGCAGAATAGTAATGAATATATCTATTTTTACATTCAATTCGTCTGTTGTTTTTTCTCGGATAAAGGGATGAAAATATAATCAACTTGTATAAAGTTGTGCGACTTAATTTGATGCAAATCTGAATGTAACTTTGAGAACATTAATGTTTGTATATTTTATTTTTTCTTGTGTAAAATACTGTCAGTAGGTTGGGTCTGAATGGGAAAAGAGTATTGAATCAACATATCTGTATGTACATGCATCGAACCTCAATTTTTTGTAACTTCGTCTGCCGCAAGTGAAAAGAATTAAACGGGATCACTGTTAGGTGTATTTCTATATTCGAATACGTTCTAAACCAGAGAAAACAAAGCTCGAGAATAGTTAATAGGTTCTAAATCTCAAGTAAGATTATTGGAATCATTTTATACTTATCTTAGTGAAAGCTGTGTGAGAAAATACGAACTGATTGATAAGTATTTATAGTTTTGTATTAAATCAAACAAGAAGATCGTAAACTATTCTAGAGAAACACGCCCCCCCCCCCGGTGGCACAGCGGCATGTCTGCAGACTTGCAACGCTAGAAACCGGGTTTCGATACCCGTGGTGGACAGAGCCCAGATAGCTCATTGCGTAGCTTTGTGCTTAATTCCAAACAAACAAACAAAAAAGAAACGATAGAACTTGTCAGAATGGTAGTCGTTCTCGTAATCTCACTTCTAAAAACAACGCATTTTCTTCTGCTCTTCTAGCGATAATTTAAGTTCTTCACGTTTAATGAATATTGATATCAGATATCATTTAACTAAGATCAACTGTTTTTGTTTTTTTCTATACTGAATTTGAATAAACTTAATTTGCTATACTATTAAAAGTCAGCATGTGATAATTAGCCAAATTACCAGCAACGCGATTTTGACCCTATACGTATAACGTTTGCACTTGTGAGAAACTATTAGAGACTGAACTCACACCCATTTAAAAGGTGTTATGACATGGTAGGACGTGATTGGGTTGTAAAAATCTCTTGGTTGTTCAGTTTTTAGCACTTTTCGAATTTGGAGTAAGTTATTTTTTATGGATGTGTTTTAATAAGAATTGTGGATATTGCTTTTATAACTATACACTCGAACGTTGTATAGTGAAATAAGAATGATTTTGTGAAATTAAAATATTTATTTCAATAAATGATAGGTGTTTTTTTTTTATTTACCGAGTCGGAGTTCTAAAAAATTGCACAACGGCAATATATCTAAAAGTAGTGCAAAATAAACTGTTGATAAGTATTACTACAGAAATAAACAAAAAAATAGTATTATGTTTATTTATAAAAACACTAAACAGGAATACTAACCGTGGAAATTATAGTAACTCAGGCTTTGGATTGAAATATAAAAATGCCAATGGATGTTAGAAGCAATAATAGCTATTTATTGCAAATAATAATAATATAAGAGATCACCAAGAAACTGCTAATAATAAAACATAACTTGAAAACATGCGAACTTACAAACTACGGGATTCCATATTAAAACTTTATTACAGAGAAGTGTGAGAATTTGAGACATGAAACAGCAACAACAACAATCATACTTGGGGTAATGTATATTTCAATACAGATGGGTTAACCGAGATACAAATGATATCCATTGTCGTGTTGGAAGGTCGAGATGTAATGCTGCTCAACGCGCCGCATTTTCAGCTGTAAACGCGTTATAAACGGATAGGCTTGTTATTTGGTTGAAAGAGCTGAAGAAAAGTGGCGGCTACTGCTGGCTGGCTGCCCTTCCTTTAATTCAAAATTAGGGAGGGCTATACCTGATATGGCCGTTTAGCAACGTGCACATAAGGTACCTGTTTCTTTGGTTAAAAAGAGTTTGAAGATTCCTATATATAAGCCGTGAAATATTCGGTATTTCCAAGTCCATGTCAAGCTCCGTGTCTCTCAGTTTTCTTTAGAAATATCTTTTTATGTCTGACGTAGGATAAGCTAATACGTGGAAATACTATAACCAAGAAGTTACAAACACGTTATGAATTCTAAGTGAATGCATGTCAAAGTTTATAGAGCTTATGCAAGTTACTATTCACGATATTTCTTTTTATTTAAAAGATCACAATTCAAAAAAAATATCATTAGAAACTCTCATATAGCATCTACGTCGTTCGAATTAGGCCAATGATTTTCAAACTGTCAGAATAAGCCTTCCGGAGCTTTATCAAAATAAAAGTGCACCTCCTTATGGTACAGGATTTGAGAAATTGCACAGGAGTTCAACGTAAGTCGGCAAGGTATACAAAAGTTATTTGCGGTGTTTTTTCTCTAGATTATTTTTCTTACAGCTGCTAACGCTCAGTTTGACTGTGTAGTTGAGCAATAAAACTATATATATACCTTCGAACTTACAAACGCAAAAACAAAAACTATCTAAACTGTATACAAGTCGCATAAGATTATAGGGGCAAAAAACTGTCTTAACTGTATCAATCACATCGGCTTACAGGGGGTAGCAACTATTTTAACTGTATGGTTCGCACCAGCTACAGGGACAAAAACTATCTTAATTGTATAGGTTACAATAGGGGCAAAAACTGTCTTAATTGTATCAATCACATCAGCTTACAAGGGTAAAATCTATCTTAACTGTATAAGTGACATCAGCCTTGTGGATTTGTGAAATCTTCCACACACCCAGTGCCATTTGAGCAAGATAGCTTAAAAAAAACGGATAAATCGGGTATACTTCAACAATTTCTGCTGAGACTTTATTCGACAAGGTTTTGGTGATGGTGAAGGAGAAAGTTTTGTGAAGAAAGCT